GACTGATGAGGTTTGAAGTAAATATTACTGGGGTGGGAGGGTTCTTTGATGATGTTGCCAGCCATTCCGCAGCAATGAGAAGTGTAGGTGGAGTCCAGGGATGGAAGGCTGGCTTTCATGATGGCCTGGGCTGTGCACACAACTTTCTATAGTTTCTTATGGTCCTGGGCAAAGCAGGTACTGTACCGAGCCGTTATGTACCCAGATAGAATGGTTTCTGTTGTGCGTCAGTAAACATTGATGAGGGTCATGCCGAACTTCCTAAGACTCCTGAGGAAGAAGAGGTGTTGTTGTGCCTTCTTGACTGTCGCATCTACATGGAAGGTTCAGGACAGGTCATCAGTTTGCATCATTCCTAGGAACTTGATGCACTCAACCATCTTCCTTTCTTTTTGAAGTCAATGATCAGTTCTTTTGTTTTGCTGACATTGAGGGAGAGATTTTTATCATTCCACCATGACACCAAGCACTCTTATCTTCTTCCTGTATTCTGGCTCATCATTGGTTCATATCCAGCCTACATCAGTGATGTCATCAGCGAACTTCTAATTGGCGTTCATACGAAATTTGGCCGTACAGTTGTGAGTGTACAGGAAGTACAGTAAGGGGCTGAGTATGTAGCCTTGCAGGGCACTAGTGTTGAGGATTATCATGGAGGAGGTGCTGTTGTCTATCTTCACTGCGGTCTGTGGATCAAGAAGCTGAAGATCCATTTGCAGAGGGCATAGCCAAGACCTAGGTCTCGGAGTTTTGAGATTAGTCTGGCAGGGATTATGGTGTTAAGGGCAGAACTGTAGTCAATGAATAGGAGCCTGATGTAGGTATCCTTGTTATCCAGATGTTCCAGGGATGAGTACAGGCCTAGGGAAATGGTGTCCCCTGTGGACCTCTTTTGCCTGTAGGTAAATTGCAAGGGGATCGATGCAGGCTGGGAGGCTAGAGTTGACGTGGGCCATGACAAACCTCTCGAAGCACTTCATGATTATGGAGGTCAGACCCACCGGATGGTAGGCATTGGGGCACGTTGCATGTATTTTCGTTGGTACTGGGGTGATGGTGGTCTTCTTGAAGCAGGTGGGGACTCCAGATTGTAGCAAAGAGAGGTTCAGTGAATACTCCCACCAGCCGGTCTGCACAGGATCTGAGTGCACGGCTGGAGACTCTGACTGGCCCGTCACTTTCCCCGGATTCACTCCCAAGAAAGCCGATCTGACGTCTGTCGTGGTGACTGAGGGAACGGGAGTATCCGGAGCTGTTGGGACCGGTGACAGCGCATCACTGGCAATCTGCTCAAAGTGAGTATCGAAAGCATTGAGAGCATCAGGGAGGAATGAGGTTTTTGTCCGCTATTTTGTTCGGCTTCATTTTGGATCCCGTTATGTTGTGTAGGCCTCGCCACAGGCAGCGGGTGTCCGTCCGTTTAGTTTGGGTCTCGAACTTAGTCCGATACTGCCTCTTGGCATCTCTGACGGCTTTGTGGGAGTTGTATCTGTATTTCCTGTAAAGGTCTGGGTCATGTGACTTGAATGCCACACGCCTGGTCTTCATTAGGCAGTGGATTTCCTGGTTCATCCAAGGTAACCAGTTGGGAGCATATGGGTTGACTTCTTTGGCACACAGTCCTGTACGCACTTGCTAATGAAGCCTGTGATGGTGGAGGTGTACTCATCTAGGCTGGCTGCTGAATTCTTGAATGTGGTCCTGTCCACTGACTCCAAGCCGTCCCAGAGAAGCTCTTCCACCACCTCAGACCAGCACTGTACTACTTTCTGCAATGGGTCCTCTTGTTTCAACCTCTGCTTGTAAGCTGGGAGGAGGAACACAGCGTTGTGATCTGATTTTCCAAAGTGCGGTCAGCGGATGGAGCAGTAGGCATCTTTGATGGTTGTGTGTGGCTGTGGTCAAAGAGGTTCGGCCCCCTGGTGGGACAGGAGACGTGTTGATGGTATTTTGGTGACACCTCTTGAGGTTTGCCTGGTTGAAGTCTCTGGCTACGATGAATGAGGCATTTGTAACGGTGTGAATTTCATCCAGAGCACTCTTCACTTCCGCATGGGGTGGTATGTAGACTACTGCCAGGATGGCGGAGGTGAATCACACGGCAGGTAGTAGGGACAGCATTTCACTGTTAGGTATTCTATATACGGGAAGCAGTAGCTCACCAGGCTCACCACGTCTGAGCACCAGGAGGTGTTGATTAGGAAGCAGACTCCACTTCCTCTCACATTACCCATGGATAACCTGTGGGCCATGCAATGTATAGAGAAACCCTCCGGTTCTAAGGCACAGTCAGGTATAGCAGGAGTGAGCCATGTCTCCATAAAACAGAATGCTTAGCAATCCCTCAGTTCCCCCTGGAAGGTGTTTCTGATAGACTTCGTGTTTACTGTGCAATCACACCTGTGGTATTCACCCAAACACACTCTGAGTTGAACTGGAGCACTGCTGGAGGGCACAGCCTTGGTGCTGGGACTCACTGAGTTTTTATTTAAGCTGCAGGAGAGTGGCTGAGGTAGGGGCCTGGATACTCTGGGTCTGTGGCTAAGGCCTACCAACCCCAGGGAGCAGGGTGAACTACTAATGAACAGTGCAGGCTCCAAGGTTGGCTTAGAGAGTTGGGAGGTCCAATCAACATCTGGGGTGAAAAAAGAATCTGTTCCTCATCCGGAACCTGCAGCACCCCTCCCCATCCCTGCCCCATTCCTACTCCCCTAACTCTGAACTGCCCCTCATCCACCCCAACCCCCCACCATGGGTCTGTTACTTTGATCAGTAGGCTCCCGGGACACAAAGCGGAGAGTTCTGGTAGACTGGATGTTGTAATGTTCTAGGTGAGGGTGGGTGACTTTGTCACATTTTAGAATGTCATACTGCTTGGGCTGAGGGGTGGGGTAACTGTGAGTCAGTAAGGGACTTCTGACTTCCATTGAGATGTGGCCACTTTCTTACTCTGCGCACCATGACCTGCTCAGGCCACAGTCTCAGAGAATAAGAATAAAGGTACTTTTGAAAAAAAAAATGTCAGTCTTATTTATTTGAGATTTTTTAAATGTTATTTGCGCTGCGGACCCATGGCAAGGCCAGCATTTATTGACATAGAACTTCATATCACCAAGAATGCAATGGTGAGCCTTTTACATGAACCGCTGTAATCTGGCTGCTGCATGTACACTTACAGTACAGTTTGGGGTGGGAGGGAGGGGAGGGGGCAGGAGTGGCAGGGGGAGGGGGGAGAGTGGCAGGGGGAGGGTGGAGAGTGGTGGAGGGGAAGTGTGGTGGCGGGGATGAAGTGTGATGGTGTAGGGGGAAGGGAAGTGTGGTGGCAGTGAGGGAGGAAGGGAAGTGTGGTGGCGGTGGGGGGGGAGGGGCGTGGTGGCAGTGGTGGGGGTGGGAGGGAAGTGTGTTGGCAGTGGGGGAGGAAGGGAAGTGTGGTGGCAGTGAGGGGGGAGGGGAGGGGGGTGGCAGTGGTGGGGGGGAAGGGAAGTGTGGTGGCGATGGGGGTAAGGGAAGTGTGGTGGCAGTGGGGGAGGTGGAAGGGAAGTGTGGTGGCAGTGGTGGGGGGAAGGGAAGTGTGGTGGCAGTGAGGGGGGAAGGGAAGTGTGGTGGCAGTGGTGGGGGGGAAGGGAAGTGTGGTGGCGATGGGGGTAAGGGAAGTGTGGTGGCAGTGGGGGAGGTGGAAGGGAAGTGTGGTGGCAGTGGTGGGGGGAAGGGAAGTGTGGTGGCAGTGAGGGGGGAAGGGAAGTGTGGTGGCAGTGGTGGGGGGGAAGGGAAGTGTGGTGGCGATGGGGGTAAGGGAAGTGTGGTGGCAGTGGGGGAGGTGGAAGGGAAGTGTGGTGGCAGTGGTGGGGGGAAGGGAAGTGTGGTGGCAGTGAGGGGGGAAGGGAAGTGTGGTGGCTATGGGGGTGTTAAGGGAAGTGTGGTGGCGATGGGGGTGTTAAGGGAAGTGTGGTGGCAGTGGGGGAACGGGGTAAGTGTTGGTGAGGTGATAGTGATGGTGGGGGCCATAGTGGTAGCAGTGGGGAAGTGTGATAGCAGGGGGTGGAGATTGGTGGTAGTGGGTTGTCGTGGGGAAGTGATGATGGGGAGGAGAATTTGAGGATTCTGACCCAGGTTTGATTGAAGAAATAATGATACATTTTTAAGTCAGCCTTGGAGATGAGCCTGCATGCTGTGGTGTTCCCAGGTTTGAGGTTTTGCTGCATCCCTTCGAAACATCCCAAAAGTGCCTCCCATGGAATTAATTGTCAATGTCAAGAACTTCATGCAACGAAATGCCGCAGTCAGTTTTGGTACAATAAAAGCCCACTAACAGTTGATTCCTACTGTTGTTACTTGAGAAGAATTGTTGACTAGGACATTGGGAGAGGTCCTTGCTCTGCAAGTGGTGATGTGACATCTTCAATATCCACGTGTTGGCTTTACACTTGGACCTTGGGGTCTTCAACACACTCCCTCAGTCCTGTCAGGCAGTCAGGACTGCAGCATCCTCGACAGCTGCGGGGGGCGGAGGGCGGAGGGGTGGGGGGGACAAGGTGTCTTCAAGGTGGCTCACTCCTTCCATCCCTGAAGGAACTCAGAAAGAACTGAACTCCCTCCACACCTACTTGCCCTGGCTTCAATTCCCAAAGTGGGCAGAACCAATAAAAACCGACAAAGACATGGATATGTGACCGTACTAATAGTACTGGAGCTGTATTTTACAGGAAGAAAGGCAAGTTGGAACAATAGGTGTCAGTCACTACTGGCTGTGACTGGTTTCCCAGTAGGTTTGGATGAAGATGCCTGCAATGCGGCCTGGGATCCAACATGGGGACACTCTACACTGGAAGCTAACAGGGATGGGGTAAGGAGTGGATAAAGTACCCCACTCCATTCAAACTGCATTACCCCCCCCCACCACAATCTCCCCAAACCTTGCATGCTTTACCCCCAGCATTAAGAGCGAGAGCCCAGAAATGAAACCAGCCGCGACCCAGTCTCCCAGGTTTGAACTCACTTACCTTCACGATGTTACTCAGCATGCTGCCAAATGCAGTTTTCTGGGAGATGGAGTAGGCAGGTGCTGCCTTCAGGTGTGGGATTTTTGGCCCAGACACTGGCACATCCTTGTATCGCGCAGGCCCTAGAGCAGAGAAGGAAACAGAGCTGAACTGAGCCATTCACACGGCCCACAGAATTGATGCTGGGCCCAGACAGGCAGCTGAGATTTCGGACAACAACGACCAGGAGCTAACTGATACCTACAGCCAAAGGGTTGTTCCTCAGAATCCCTCTCACAGCACAGATAGAGGCCATTCACTCTTTCATACTTGATTCTGGCTCTTTGAAATGGCTTCCCAAATAGACACACTGCCACTGCACTCACACAGATCCTCTTTCATACACACACTGAGAGATCCATGGGGGAGTGGGCAAAGGAGGCGTTGAATTGGACCCCTCTGGAGGGCCGCTGCCTGGGGTTTGACAGGTTTGCTCAAGCCGTCAGGGAATGTGCGAACGCCAGATTTATCAGCCACACCCACAAGGTAGTGCAAAACGTCACCCAGGCACAACACAACGCCATCTCCGTGCTCTCAAGACCAATTGCAACATTGTCATCTAACCAGCAGACAAAGGAGGAGCCATTGTCATACAGAATAGAACGGTCTACTGCAAGGAAGTGTACCGACAGCTGAACAACCAGGAACACTACAGACGACTACCTGCCAATCCGACCATAAAACATACCCGTCAACTGAACAGATTAGTCAAGATTTTTGATCCAGTCCTTTACAGTATCCTATGCACTCTCATCCTGCGTACTTCCCCCATAGGAGACTTCTACTGCCTTCTGAAGATACACAAAGTCAACACACCTGGACATCCCATTGTATCAGGTAATGGGACCCTGTGTGAGAATCTCTCTGGCTATGTCGAGGGCATCTTGAAACCCATTGTACAGGGAACCCCCAGCTTCTGTCACCACACCACAGATTTCTGACAGAAACTCAGTACCCATGGACCAGTCAAACAAGGAACATTCTTTGTCACAATGGGACGTTTTGGCACTCTAATCCAGCATCCCCCATGACAACGGGATCGCTGCAACAGCCTCAGTACTTAATACCAACAACTGCCAATTTCCAGATACCATCCTACACCTCAACCACTTCATCCACGACCACAGTGTCTTCACCTTTGACAACGAGTTCTTCATCCAGACACATGGAGCAGCCATGGGGACCAGACTTGCTCCCCAATATGCCAACATTTTCATGCACAGGTTCGAACAAGACTTCTTTGCTGCACAGAACCTCTGACCAATGCTATACACCAGATACATTGATGACATTTTCTTCCTTTGGACTCATGGCGAGAATTCACTGAAACAACTATATTGCAATATCAACAAGTTTCATCCCACCATCCGACAGTCTCATTTTTGGATACACGCATCTCCATCAGGGACAGACACCTCAGTACCTCACTCTACCACAAGCCCATGGATAACCTCACGATGCTGCGCTTCTCTAGCTTCCACTCGAAACATATTAAAACAGCGACTCCCTACAAACAAGCCCTACACATACCCAGAATCTGTTTGGATGAGGAGGAACGAGACAGTCACCTGAAGGTGTTGAAGAACACCCTCATAGGAATGGGATACGATGCTCAGCAATTGCCAGTTCCAATGTGCCACAATGAAAAACAGTAATGACCTCCTCAGAAGACAGACACAAGATATGTCCAATAAGGTGCCCCTCATCATCCAATACTTCCCAGGAGCGGAGAAACTATGCCATGTTCTTTGCAGCCTTCAACACCTTATAGATGACGATGGGCACCTTGCCAAGATCTTCCTCATACCTCCACTACTCACTTTCAAACAATCTCCAAACCTTAAACAGACCATTGTTCGCAGCAGACTACCCAGCGTTCAGGACAACGTCGACCACAACGCTATACAGCCCTGTTATTGTAATCTCTGCAAGACACCTGAAGAAGGACTGAGGCTCCAAAAGCCTGTGATTTAAATAAACCTGTTGGACTATAACCTGGTGTCATGTGATTTCTGACTTCGTCTGCAAGACAGGTCAGATCTTTGACATGGACACTACCATCACATGTGGGAACACCACACGTACAGCAGAGACTCATTAGACTCGACCAACATTATCTAGCTCATACACTGCAGGCAAGGATGCCCCGAGGCATGGTACATTGGCAAGACCATGCAGACACTACAACGGATGAATGGACACAGCGCAACAATCACCAGACAGGGGTGTTCCCTCCCTGTGGGGGAACACTTCAGGGTCAAGGACATTCAGCTTCGGATCTTCGGGTAAACCTCCTCCAAGGCAGCCTTCGGGATACGCGACAACGCACAGTCGCTGAACAGAGACTGATAGCCAAGTTTGGTACCCATGGGGATGGCCTCAACATGTCGCACTACAGGTGATCCCACTACACTGTACACTCACACACGCATACATACACACACACTCACTCACACAAACACACTGACAGACACACACACACACACAGACACACACACACACACTGACACACACACAGACACACACATGCACACTCTCTGTCCCCCCCCGCCACACACACACACACACACGAATCTACAGGGTGAATCTGTATTTGCAGATACATTTTATTTTGTTCAAAAAGCACACAATTTATAGACAGTCAGTCAACATGCCGTTTTATAAATTCCTACTTTAGAAATAAAACCAGTCTGACTCTAAACTCAAACACAAACAAGGCCTCACACCTAACATGCATTGTCTGACCTATAATGTCACCTCTTCTTTACACTGATAAAACCTTTAGTTCTCTCAGGACAGTGACTTCAAAGAAATTCGGGAATTTACATATACATATTAATCAATTAAAACCTTTCAACTGATTAAAGGTTTAATAGCATCTTAGGTTTGTTTAATACATCCTCATCAGCAGTGGCAACCCTTGATGTTTTACTTATAAATTCTGTGTCTGATACTACCTCTCTCACTAACGCCTGAAGAAGGACTGAGGCTCCGAAAGCTTGCGTTTTCAAATAAACCTATACCTGGTGTTGTGTGATTTCTGACAGTATTCCTTTCAAACAGTGAGTGTGTTTCAGATCATAACAATTCGTTTCATTAAACACATAATTCCTTAACTCATCATGGATTTTTGCCATTTTTGATGTGTGTCATGTGGTTATGGATCCTTGTGTCACTGGAGATAGTTTCTCCTTACCTCAACAGAAGCCTTCATGATTTTGAACATTCGCATAAAATCTACATTTCTTTCTCTGCTCTAAGGTGAACAATCACATTAATCTTCACTGAGGGGTCACCCTAAGTTGAACCACAGTTTTTCGGCTGGAAGCCCTTTTACAATCAGGGAATCTATTAAGATATGGCACTGATAAAAATAGTTCCAGCAGGGAAACATCCCTTTGCAAATTGGTGCAGCAGTAGGGAGCACCTCTTTCAAACAGTTTCACTCACATGGTGAGAGTTCTTCTTTAATTTCTGTGCCTCAGACCACTGGGAGGGAGTGTGGGTGAATGGGGAGGGAGTGCGTGTGACCAGGGAGTGAGTGTGGGTGTTGGGGTGTGAATGTGAGTGTTGGGTGTGATTTGGGTGATGGGGAGGGAGTGTGTGTGTCGGGGTGTGAGTGTGGCTAACAGGGAGAGAATGTGGGTGACCAAGGTGTGAGTTGGGTTACCAGAGAGTGAGTATGGGTGTTGGGAGTGAGTGTGGGTGACCAGGGAGTGATGTGGGTGACTAGGGAGTGAGTGCAGTGTTTGGAGTGAGTATGAGTGACCAGGGAGTGAGTGCAGTGCTGGGAGTGAGTGTGGGTGACCTGGGAGTGAGTGTGGGTGACCAGGGAGTGGGTGTGGGTGTTGGGAGTGAGTGTGGGTGTTGGGAGTGAGTGCGGGTGACTAGGGAGTGAGTGCGGTGTTGGGAGTGAGTGTGAGTGACCAGGGAGTGAGTGCAGTGTTGGGAGTGAGTGAGGGTGACCTGAGAGTGAGTGTGGGTGACCAGGGAGTGAGTGTGGGTGTTGGGAGTGAGTGTGGGTGACCAGGGAGTGAGTGCGGTGTTGGGAGTGAGTGTGGGTGACCAGGGAGTGAGTGTGGG